ATCTCTCGGTTTATCAGTGTACCTATTTTGTAAGAAGTTGATTTATTCTGCTTTTCATGTCTCTCTAAAAAATCGTTAAATTTAAATTTAACATTAGTTTTATTTATTTGATAAACAGTATGTAATATGTAACTCTTTTTCGTGGAAATTATTACTTACCGTTACTTTCAAACCATATTCAAGCGGATATAGGCAAGCAAAAGATTCCAAAACTTTGATCATAGGATACCATGTGACAAAATTCGCGTCTCGTGTTACGAACCTCGTAAGATTCCAAAACAAGTTGTAACTGAGTTGTCTTTGTAAAAAGAAGTAAAACGCATCATCGATGATTTGAGCACGATTAAGAATATGTATTTTCGCATAATTTTTAGAGTTTAAGTAGCTCTTTAGTTTCTTCCAGTTTTCGATATCATAATGGACGCGATAGTATCCTATAATGCAGAGGCATAATTGTTTTTATTAAAGTTTTTTAATCGAGAATTGATTAAGGAATACTTTCTTACAAAAATATTCTGTTGGTATTGAAATATTTTTAAACCTAATTATTCTTGAATAATTTACTTTAAAGCATTTGTTTAAACATATTTATTGAAAATTATTTATTAATTTATTAATTGCATTATCTCCTTCAGTTAATAATTTAACTTTGAAAGTTTAAGTTGAGCAAGAAATTTTGTAAAACTTTTAAGTAATTATGGCTAAATATATTAAGACAACGCATACTTTAATTGTTTTATATTTACCAGTTTGTTGTATATTAACTATAATCCAATCCGTTACATTAGAGTTACTGTAATCAAATACTGTATGTGATTTATTCGAGGTTAACCAAAACGAATGAATAGTCTTGTTAAAATTAACAGATGATTGCCACATATATGTTACATTGATCCAAATTTTTGTCTCATCATTAACTAATACATAGGGAGATTGAATGTATTTTATGTCGAAAGCCGCCATAGGTGTAAAACGATATTGTGTCACATTTAGAACAAAATAATATTTTGTCGTTATCCAATTGGTTATTATTTCTTTTAAATCAGAACTGAGCATATGTTTCGGGTCATTTTCATTGTGAAAATGAATAGTTTGCATAGTGTTCCATAAATCATCTGGTGTCGTGTTTAAATACATACGGCTAGAAAATTCAAAATTATTTAGAAGTAAACAGCGGAATAATATTTTTATGGAATATGAAAAATAGTATTTAATTTAAGCAAACAATGATTTATATTTATATTATTAAATAACTATAATGTGATACGTGTAAGAAAATTTTTTCATAGTCTACAAATAAACTTTTTGCTTAGTATTATATTCATATCGGATTACTTTTCTTCTTCAACCGAATTGTCTGTCAATAGAAATTATTATTGGTCGCAACATGTTATTTTTAAGGCTTTTCAAAACTACTGCTGATTTTCAAATTTATGTTTTTAAAATTTATTTTTTTATCTTTTTTTTATCTCGAAAACTATTAATATGAGTAAAGTATTTATAACCAAACTTTATTTGAAATTTATTTTATAACTGATATTCTATAAAAAACAATAAGATTTTTTATTTACTTTTATAATTTTAAATATCAATTTGTTAAAATTATTAAAGCTTATATTTTTGCTCTTTATAAAATAACATAATGCAAATACGTTATTTTTTGCAATTTCTAATTCTTTTTTGTAATTGTTACACTATAATATGGTATTATTACTCACTGTTTATATGTATTTTTATATGTGTGGATACCACGCCAAAACGCATCAGGAATGATATTGTATAACATGCGCCATATTATAAATGCTGTGGGAATTAAAATAATGTTTTATTTAATAATGAAAATTTGTCATAATTTTAGCACCAGTTTTATAAAAGTAAGTAATGGTTGTGTCTGTCCATAATTAAATTTTATAAAATTTTTTTTTCTAATATTCCTAAGTTTGTGAGAAATTGTGTATGCACTTTTTTGTTCAAACTTATTTGAACTAAATAAAACATATTACTTGTATTAATTTAACGTTTTTGTAATATAACGTAAATAAAGCTTTTCTTAAATTTTTTGTGTAGTATTTACGAGTTTGCGTGCAATCATCGCATTGTTACATTTACTTAACAAAATAAAGTGGCAATATTTAATTTTTTAGCCATATTTACTGGAACTTACATTTTATTTGATTTTGAGCAGATCCTAGTGAAATGTCTTGAGAAATGTTTGTGCTATTCAACGTTGGTGAATACATAGTAGAAGGAGTGTCGTAACGTAAAGAATCTTGCTGTGCTTGCACGACCATTAAATTCATCATGTGATCATCTTTGTTTATCTGGAATGTTCAATATGATAAAATTAATATTTAATTTGAAAAATGTATTCGGATGAGCAACATTCGTTTAGCGCCGCCGATCGCTGCCATAAAACTTTTGCTTGTTTGCCGTAAAATACAATAATGCAGTATATGAATTAATAGATACACAACCTGATCCAAAATATACGCTCCGAAAAATGTAACAAAACCTTCTTTTGACCAAAGTAACGCATCTTCACACCAAAGTAAAGCCAATTGACGCGCCATTATGTGTGCAATTTCTCTCTTGCGTGTAACGGGATGCAAGGTTTCATTGTAAATAATATCTGCTTCTCTAAAAATTATTTTCAAGTAACGGACTTATGTTCAATGTTTTTAATAACTGCAAAAGGGCCTAACGTATTATTTTAATAACTCTGCGTTTTTATTTATACTTATTGTTAATAAACGATATTTATATTATAATTTCTCTATTAAGTCAAGAGGTAACAAATGTTACATACAGCATTAGCACACAGAATATATTTAAAGAGAAAAGCAAAGTAGAATTCGGCACACTTTGCATCAATAATGTCACGAATGAAAATGAGTTTAATATTCAAAAAAAACTTTCGATTAATTTTTTCAATATAATGGAGATTTTGTAGCAATTTCTTTATTTGTAGCGTAAAACACGCAGAAATATTTTGCATGCTTATAACAGTGAAATCTGAATTAAAATCTGATTTGGACGAATAATTGTTTTAATTTTTCATTTAAAATAAAGGTTGAAGTTGATAAGTTTTTTAGTGCGTAATGTAAGTGTCATTGTATAAATTTTTTTTGTCTTTTAAGTAATATATATTTACATGAAAATATATGTATCTTCTAATTTCAAAATATCATTGACAACCTCATTTTTTAATGTGGATTTTAATAAGTTGTATTACCTCAGCAAAACGAGTCCCAATGAGGCATCGTTATCATCTTGAGGATGCCACAACGCAACAATATCCAGTTTTGATAATGGCCTCAAATATTTTTGTTTAAAATAAGGAATAACCTCTTCAATGATATATTTTGCATAATAAATTTGTTGCTGAGCACTTTGTCTGCACCATATGGTAACATTTGCAAGGTGACTAGAAATATTAGTAAATGTGGTTATCACAACCCTTATATGTTGAAGAGACATTGATACTATTTCTTCAAAGTGAGTCCACATCATACAATTGTTAGCTATATTTCGTGCTCGTATAGGCATATTCGATAAAACTGTATATTCTTCACCATGTTTGATAGCAATTTTAAATGTGGAATTTATGGTTGACTCATTCATGTGCGGAAATAGTTGTAAGGCTTTCATTACCTCGACACCTGTTTCGTTCAATCTGTAATATTTCAATGCTATAGTTTAAATAAAGATATATTATTAATCATAATTGATTTAAAAATATTAAGGTTCATAGATCATAAAGATATTTTATAATTTGTTGCCTTGAGTGTCATGATATGGAATATAATTAAACGTCTAGAAAGTGATAAATTTTTTGTATTGATTTTTGCATGTCAAGTTAACGATAAATACAATAAAAATTTTATATGTAAAGAATTATACCGTATAATATTTACGAAACAACGATATGTTTGAAGTATTTTAACTTACATTTTTTCACCTAATATGTCTTGATATACAGGTAGCGAAAAATTTGTGTTTTCATGTATAATACGCGCATATGCTATTTTTAACTTGTATATATCAGGAGATACATTTTTGTGCAAATAAATAGTAAGAGTATTCTTGAATTTGTTATTAATTGTAGAAGCTTTAATCGTAATATTTTTACTATCAATTATGACTGCTTTATTTATATAAACAGGTACGGAGTTCATTGTAATTAAGTACAATGAACGGTTTATGTTTATAAGAATATCACATTCTCCGAGTAAAATATTGTCCTTGAAGAAAAATCGTATTTCGACATTGTAATGCAACGGTACTATTTTTGGCAAGTTCTTATTAACCGGATCGTCATCTTCGAAACAGTTAGCAGTAGGTATGGTAATAGTTATTGTAGCGATCAACACTAGTCCGCCACTTAATAAAAATTTTTGGAACGTCATATTAATGTAATTTCTCGAATTTTAAGAAATTACTGTTAGAAAAATATTGTCTGTAAGAATCTGTAAGAAAAATATTGTAGTTAGCAAAAGATAAATAAACGCATTTGCAACACTTATTTCTTAATTTTCATATAACAAATAAAAATAAATACAAAAAGAAATTACATTTATTTAGACCATATAAATTTAAAAAAATAATATGAAATAAAAAATTAAATTATTTATGAAGATTTTAAAAAAAGATGTGATTTTGAATATAAAACATTACACAGAATAGTACAAAAATTATACTAAAGTATGAGGCACAATTGAAACATTTAATTGAACATATAATTGGAAAATGTGGAATATATAAAATTTAAATAACTTTCAAATATAATTATAATAAATGCAGTTTTAATTTTTTTAAAGACAAAGTATGTACTTTAAGCAACTAGCCTTCAGGCGCAATACATTTTTTATGTGGATAAGATGTGGATACTAGATTTTATATTAATTGCTTTTTTATGCTCTATATAAATTATGTGAGTGAATATTAATCCATTGTGGCTGTTTGAAATATAAATTTATTTGTATCTTCTTTAACGTAATGTCTCAGATTTCTTTCGAATCAAACGCAATTTACACATAAATAGATATTTTAATAATATATACATGTGTATTCTTTTTTTAACAAAAGAAACTGATCGTTTTTTATTTATTTTGTAATTTGTCTTTCTCTCAGGAATATACTAAAACTACGCAAAATATCGTCCCAAGTATTCGAAATTGGAAAATATGACTAATAATCTTAGAAATGACAAACCAATACGTTCTTATTCAATTTATGATAACTGTTGAAATATATGCTTTCGAGAAACTGAAGCTATACTGTGATTTATATGTATTCTTCTATATTTTTAAAGCGAAATATTTTAATGTTGGTTACTCACCTATATATTGATCAAAACAGAAGAATCTAGCAATGAACAATTTTGCAAGAATAATACGCCTGACACCGAATTGTAAATGTCTTGAGATATTTAAATCTATACGCGATGTTGCTACATTGAAAAGTCATCGAACACTGAGGTAGATATTGGTGACCGATAGAACATATATGTTATACCATGTAAACAGTTTTTAAGAGGTCACTCTTTGCATGAAACATTACTAATTCACTAGACGAGAACCGAATTTAAGATACTTAATAAGAAAAATCCAAATATAAAATAGAAACTTTTCATTGCCATGCATTTGTGATGTTGTATATATAATATTAAAAAAAAAAGAATTAATAGTTTTTGTACACAATAAATTAATCTTTTATGAAACAAAATTCAATTCATTCAGTTTTTATAGTGACTGAGTAAAAAATGTTAATTTTTACAATGTGATGCAAGTACGATTTTATGTATTACAAAATCAAATTCTATTAGAAAAGTGGGCTATTCAATTGTTATTAGATGTTTGTCTGTGTACTTATTTTAATTGATAATTGTTTCGGTTACTAACGTAATCCTTTTCATTATAAATAATGAAATAACTTACTCATTTTTATATTCTTCTTCACATTATATTATTATGTGTATAATAAAATAAAATCATTATAAAATCGAGTCCTGTAAAGCCGAACGGCGAGTACGCTGCTTGATGGTGCTCAGCGCTCACTATCATTGGCGGCGTCGCATGTTTTCTTATAAAATGCATATTTCCGCAAATTTTCAATGAATCGATCTGAAAATTTTCAGAAACCTTCTTTCAATAGTGAGAAACAAATGTCTCACTGGAGGTTGTTTCAAATTTCAAGTTTCCTCGATACTTTTTGTCGGCGAAGCTAAAAAAACGTAGTACCGACTGGTTTCAATTTGCAATTAATTATTATTAAACAATAGGCGATTTTCAGCTTCTTTATTGTTTTGTAGGCATCGCTGGACTATACTGCATGCGTATACCAAATTTCAAACAATTTCAAAATTTGGCCAAATTACGACGATTTATATCTTAAAATCTTATTGAATTTGGGGATAAAAATTTTTCAGTTTTTCATTTTTATTATTAAAAATAAGCATCGAACAAAAAAACTGCAAATAGAAAAAAGTTCCGTTTTGTCATTCTCTATAAGCCTATATTTAAAAAAAAATTAATTTTGCGACTTTCAAAATTTTCATGCTCTGAGACAATACTTTTACAGTATTTTGAGCGCTGGGCGAGTTCTCAATGTCATGTGCAAAAATATATTTTGACAGTTTATATTTAAATGATTGTCAAGGCAATATTGATCATGTGCAAAAAATATATTTTGACAGTTTATATTTAAATGGTTGTCAAGGCAATATTGATTAGCAATTTATAAATGTTTCTTTGACAATTGTTTACATTACCTCAAGCTGTCAAGTTGTATCCACTCTTAAAAAAGGCATGATAGATCGATACTCGAATGTATCGAAAGTCTCGAAGCTTATTGTTGACACTTTTCCGCGTCGCTGATTGGTTATTTCGAGAACCATGAGAACTAAATAGCTTCGTCCTGATTTCCAAATATTTGGTAATGGGAACTAAATCATTTCGTCCTGATTACCAAATATTTGGTAATGGGAACTAAATCATTTCGTCCTGATTACCAAATATTTGGTAATGGAAACTAAATCATTTCGTTCTGATTACCAAATATTTGGCAATGGGAACTAAATCATTTCGTCCTGATTACCAAATATTTGGTAATGGGAACTAAATCATTTCGTCCTGATTACCAAATATTTGGTAATGGGAACTAAATCATTTCGTCTTGATTACCAAATATTTGGTAATGGGAACTAAATCATTTCGTCCTGATTACCAAATATTTGGTAATGGGAACTAAATCATGTCGTCCTGATTACCAAATATTTGGTAATGGGAACTAAATCATTTCGTCCTAATTACCAAATATTTGGTCCAGTAATTTGGGAACGCTTCTCCAGTGCAGTATCCAGCAAAATGGCGGCCACTGGATACTGCACTGAGTGAGACGAAATGGGAACGCAGCCATAGTTTGATAGCTTGATAGCGAAGGTTATTTTGACGGTTATTTAAAATAAAAAAATTTATCTAAATATTTAGATTTCCTAATTATTAAATTACTATAATAAGTGCGCGCGCGCAGCGCGCGCTTGTATTGTTCTAGTATTATTCAAAATGTATAGCATTAAAAATAACAATAATATAAGGATATTTAAAATATTTAAGAACAGAAATTAAATAAATTTAAATTCTCAGATATTATTTAATAAAAGCCAAAGCAGAGATTATAATAGTTATCGATACATGTATATGATTGTATATGATTAACAAGTGAATTAGTCTTTTATCTTGACTCAGATATTTTGCTATTTATGTCTTTTTGGTGTTACTAAAATAGTACCCGTAGTTGTTGACTAGTCTTCCGACTTCCGATCTTCGTTTTCTTATTTTACTTTCAATGGCTTGAATCATTGGTATTTTATAGTGCTTTTCTGCGAATATATTTACCTGAAACAAATTATTTCAATAATGTCAACGAATACAAATCTGTCACACATCTGCAGTTTGGCAGAACATAATTCACAGTGTACAGTGTAATTTACATTAGATATATTATGTATGTAACAAATTATATATGTAGATATAATTAATTGTTATGTTTAGATATCAAGAAATGAGTGTGTTAGAATAAATTTTAGAAAATATACCCTTGCCATGTAACGTTCGGAGTGCGTAATAATTACAATTAATGTTGCAATTATGTCATTTGGCCTACAAAAGCAAAAAAATTGATAAATTTAACAAATGGAACAAATATTAATGATTAGTTATTATGATATATATGAATGATTTAGAAATATTGTATAAATTCGGAGATATACAGTGTGTCCCAATAAAGTGAATATACATTTTATCATATATTTTAACAATTTAAATGATATGTACCATACATTTTAACAAGTAAGACAGACGTTAACTTATTGTTGTATTGGCAATTACCGCAATGTTACAATTGTTCAACATGCCACCATCAGCACCAATGCATTGGTGCAACAGAGTCACATACAAATTTTATTACTTCTAGCAGAATAGTAGCACAGAAATTTTTTCGCGAGACAAAATCATGCCAGCTCTTAATGACCTAAAACAAGACTGTTACTTTCAGCAGTATGCGCCTACATTAAAGAACCGATGTGAGAAATTTTCTTGATGTCACTTTTCCCAGGAAATGGATAGGACGAAGAGGAAGTGTGAAATGTCCATTTCAATCTCCTGATTTAACACCACTGGACATTTACTTAGGGTACTCGAAAGAATACTATATACGCCACAAAACTAAGAACACTGCAGAGTTTGATACATGAAATTGAAAATGTCTTTGCTGCTGTTCTGCTAAAAAAAATATAGTACATATGTCGCTCAGTTACACATCAACAATGCATTGGTACTGATGATTACTTTAAACATTTGTAATTATAGGCAACCAACAAAACAACAAGTTAACGTCTGTCCATTATACTTGTCAAAATATATATAAGAATAAAATCTGTATACATTTTAACGGGACACACTGTATTTTTAAAAGAAAACGTTATTACCTATTTGAACTGAAACTAATTTGTTCAAAAATTTCAAAAAGACAAGAATTCACTTCTTCTGTTTTTGAATGTTTGGCAACAGTAAAAAGAAATGCATTGGCACGCCTAATGGCCCGTTTGCTATCATTAGGCTGAATTTTTTCTGATACTGTTATTTTCAAAAGAGTGCAAATAATATGATAATTTGAGCATGTTAGGTATTCTAAATAACTTTCATCAGACGTTGCCTCCCATTTCTGCCATATCTTGTACCAAATAGTGTAGTTTGCTGTTCTTAAACCATAACAGTATATCCATTTCTTCCCTATCAAATTACTGCATCAAAAAATATGTTTTACTACAAATTCATTTACATTTCGAAATTATAATTATGAAATAATTTGAAACCAGCATAATGCATAAATGCAACAACATTCTCATTAGATATTGTGGCTATAAAGCGGCTTACTTGTTTTCTACAGAATTTTGAAGTTCTTTGTTGAATTTCGAAGCAGCTACTTCTTGGCACTTAGAAACATTTAGTATACATGCCCATTTTACAGCTTCTTGTCTCAAATATATAGTAAGAATGTGATCTGTCGGTTTTTCAGTGTATCCTATTTTTGTAAAAAGTTGATTTATTCTGTTTTTCATCATTTTCTAAAAAAAATCGTTAAACTTAAATTTAACACTGTTAATTTTATTTATTCGATAAACAGTGAGTAATATGTAACTCTTTTTCATGGAAATTTATCATTACTTACCGTTATTATAAAACCATAACCATATTCAAGCGGATACATGCAAGCAAAGAATTCAAAGATTTTGATCATAGGATACCATGTGACAAAATTCGCGTCTTGTGTTACGAACCTCGTAAGATTCCAAAAGAAGTTGTAACTGAGTTCTTTTTGTAAAAAGAAGTAAAACGCGTCATCGATGATTTGAGCACGATTAAGAATATGTATTTTCGAATAATTTTCAGAGTTTAAATAGCGCAGAAGTTTCTTCCAGTGTTCGTGATTATACTTGACGCGATAATACCCTATAATATAGAGGAATAATTGTTTTTATTAGAGTTTTTAATCGAGAATTGATTAAGGAATACTTCCTTACACAAATGTTCTGTTTGTATTCAAATATTCGTAAAATTAATTATTTTTGTATAATTGATTTTAAAGCATTTGTGTAATTATGTTTATTGTAAATTATTAATTAATTTATTAATTGCATAATCTCATTTACTTGACAATTAACTTTGAAAGTTTAAGTTGAGCAAGAAAATTTGTAAAACTTTTATGTAATTTTAACTGGATATATTAAGACGACGCACACATTTTTATCGTTCTGTATTTACCAGTTTGTTGTATGTTGACTAAAATCCAATCGGTTGCATTATAGTTACTGTCTGCAAATTGTATATTTGATATATTCGGAGTTATCCAAGACGAATGAACAGTCTTGTTAAAATTAAAAGACGATTGCAACATATATGTTACATGTATCCAAATTTTTGTCTTATTCTTAAGTGATAGATTTGGAGATTGAATGTAGCTTATCTCCCAACCTAAGAAGTGCTGTGCAGGAAAATGAGTTTGTTTCACATTTGGAACAAAATAATATTTTTTGGTTATCCAATTGGTTATTATTTTTTTTAAATGAGAACTAAGCATATGTTTCGGGTCACTTTCATTGTGAATAGTTTGCATAGTGTTCCATAAATCACCTGGCGTCGTGTTTAAATACATACGGCTAAAAAATTGAAAATTATTTAGAAGTAAACATTGGAATAATATTTTTATGGAAAATAAAAAATTAGTATTTAATTTAAGCAAACATTGATTTATATTCATATTATTAAATGTATGTAATGTGGTATATGTAAGAAATTTTTTTTATAGTCTACAGAATAAACTTTTTTTGCCTAGTGCTATACTCATATCGGATTACTTTTCTTTTTCAACCAAATTGTTTGTCAATAGAAATTATTATTAGTCGCAACATATTATTTCTAAGGCTTTTCAAAGCAACTGCTGTTTTTTTAAATTATTTTTTTGAAATTAATTTTTAATCTCGTAATCTATTAAAATGTATAGAGTATTTGTAACTAAAAAGAAATAAGATTTTTTATTTACTTTTATAAATCTAAGTATTAGTTTTCAATAATTAGCAAAGCTTTTATCTTTGCTGTCTAACAATTACAAAATGCAAATACGTTATTTTATGCTCTGCCTAATTTTGTTATGTAATTGTTATACTATTATATGGTATTATTACTCACTGCTTATATATATGTGTGCGGAGACCACGCCAAAACGCACTAGGAATGATAAGGTGTAACATGCGCCATATTATGAATGCTGTGACAATAAAAATTATGTTTTATTTAGTAATGAAAATTTGTCATGATTCAATCATGGTTCATCATCAATTTTATAAAAGTAAATAATAGTTGTCTGTTCGTAATTAAATTTACTATAATTCTTTTTTTTCAATATTTCCGAATTTGTAAACAATGAATTTTTTTGTTCAAACCTACTTGAATTAAATAAAATATTTTACTTGTATTAATTTAATGTTTTTATAATATAACATAAATACAAACTTTTTTAAAATTTGTTTGTAATATTTGTGAGTTTGCGTACAATTATCGCATTGTTACATTTACTTTACAAAATATAGTGGCGATATTTAATTTTACAGCCGTATTTACTGGAACTTACATTTCATTTGATTTTGTGCAGACCCTAGTGAAATGACTTGAGAAATGTTTGTGTTTTTCAATGTTGGAGAGTATATAGTAGAAGGAGTGTCGTAACGTAAAGAATCTTGCTGTGCTTGAACGACCATTAAATCCATCATGTGATCATCTTGGTACACCTGGAAAGTTCAATATGAGCAAATTAATATTTAAGTGAAAAGTGTATTCGGATCAACAACATGCATTTTGTGCCGTCGATCGCTGCTATAAAACTTTTGCTTGTTTGTCATAAAGTATAAAATTGCAGTATGTGAATTTTAAAAATGCACAACCTGATCCAAGATATGCGCTCCGAAAAATGTAACAAAACCTTCTTTTGACCAAAGTAATGCATCTTCACACCAAAGTAACGCCAATTGACGCGCTATTATGTGCGCAATTTCTCTTTTGCGTGTAACGGGATGCAAGGTTTCATTGTAAATAATATCTGCTTCTCTAAAAATTATTTTCAAATAACAGACTTATGTTCAATGTTTTTAATAATTGCAAAAGGCGCTAATGTATTATTTTAATAACTTTGCGTTTTTATTTATACTTATTGTTAATAAACGATATTCATATTATAATTTCTCTATTAAGTCAAGAGGTAACAAATATTTACTTACGTACAGCATTAGTGTACAGAATATATTTAAGGAAAAAAGCAAAGTAGAATTTGACACATTTGCATAAATAATGTAACGGATGAACATGAGTTTAATACATATTCAACAAAAACTTCGATCAGTCTTTTTCAATATGATTGCAATAAAGAGATTTTGTAGCAATTTCTTTATGTAGCGTAAAACACGCGCAGATATTTTGCATGCTTATAATAGTGAAATCTGAATTAAAATCTGATTTGGAAGAATATTTGTTTTAATTTATTTAAAATTATTATTAATGTCTGTTCAGCAATTATTAATGTCTGTTTCGTCAATTTATTTGTTTTAATTTTATTTATAATAAAGGCTGAATTTTATAAGTTTTCTTGCGCTTAATGTAAGTGTCATTGTACAAATTTTGGTTTTCTCTTAATTGACATATGAACATGAAAATATGTATATCTTCTAATTTTAAAATATCATTGACAATCTTATTTTTTATGTCGATTTTAATTAGTTATACCTCAGCAAAACGAGTCCCAATGTCGTATGACTATCGTGGGAATGCCGCAATGCAATAATATCCAATTTTGGTACTGTCCGCAAGTATTTTCGTTGAACATAAGGTACAACCTTGTCAATAACATCTCGTGCATAATAAATTTGTTGCTGAACATTTTGTCTGCACCATATGGTAACCTTTGCAAGGTGACTAGAAACATTAGTAAATGTAGTTATCACAATCGATAAGTGTTGAGCAGACATTAATAATTGTTCGTGAAAATCAGTCCACATCATGCGATTGTCAGCTTTATTTCGTGCTCGTATAGGCATATTCGATAAAACTGCATATTCTTCATCATGTTTGATGGCAATTTTATACAAGCAATTGATGGTTGACTCGTTTATGTGCGGAAATAGTTGTAAAGCCTTCATTACTTCAACACCTGTTTGGTTCAACCTATAATATTTCAATACTATAGTTTAAATAATGATATATGAATCATATAATTGAATTAAAAATATTAAGTTTCAAAGATCATAAAGATATTTTATAATTTGCTGCCCCGAATGTCATGATTTGGAGTATACTTAAACGTCTAGAAAGTGACAAATTTTTTGCGTTGATTCTTGCATATCAAGATAACGATGGATAGAATAAAAATATTTTGTGTAAAGAATTATAACGTAATCTTTACGACACAGCGAAATGTTTGAAATATTTTAACTTACATTTGATCACCTAATTTGTCTTGATATATTGGTAAAGAAACTTTTCTGTTTTCATGTATAATACGCGCATATGTAATTTTTAGAATGTATGTTTCAGGAGGTACATCCTGATGCAAATTAATAGTAAGAGTATTCTCAGACTTGTTAATTATTGCAGAAGATTTAATCGGAATATTTTTACTATCAATCAAGATTGCTCTATTCATATGAACAGGTACGGAATTCAGTGATATTAAGTGCAATACACGGTTAATACGCATAACAATATTACATTGTCCGAGTAAAATATTGTCCTTGAATAAAAATCGTATTTCGACATTATAATGCAACGGTACTATTTCTGGCAAGTTCTTGTCAGTAACTGGATTGTCATTTTCGATACAGTTAGCAGTTGGAAGAGAAATGGTTATTGTTGCGATTAACACTAGTCCGCTATTTAATAAAAATTTTTGGAATGCCATATTGATGTAATTTCTCGAATTTTGACCTGTAAGAAAAATATTGTAGTTAGCAAAAGACAAATAAATGCATTTGCAACACCTATCTCTTAATTTTCATATAATAAATAAAAATAAATACAAAAAGAAATTGCATTTGTTTATACCATATAAATTTTTATAAAAAATAATAAATAGAAAATTAAAATATTTATGAAGATTTTGAAAAAAGATGTAATTTCGAGTATAAAACATTATACAGTATCGTACAAAAAGTATGAGACACAATTATAACATTTTTTTAAACATACAATTCGAAAATGTGGAATATATATAATTTGAATAATTTTCAAACATAATTATAATAAATGCAGTTTTAATTTTTTTAAAGACAAAGTATGTTTTTTAATCAACTAGACTTCGTCCACAATACATATTTGATGTGGATAAGATGGATACTAGATTTTATTTTAATTGTTTTTTTAAGCTGGACATAAATTATGTGAGTGATCATTAATCCATTGTGGCTGATGGAAATATAAATTTATTTGTATCTTCTTTAATGAAATATCTCAGATTTCTTTCGAATCAAACGCAATTTACTCATAAATATTTTAATGATACAAATATTTTAATGATACGGATATTTTAATGATATATACATGTATATTTAACAAAAGAAGCTGAGAGTTTTTAAATTATTTTGTAGTTTGTGTTTTTCTCCGGAATATATTAAATCTACGCAAAATATTGTCTCAAATTATTTGAAATTGAGAGATATAAGTGATAATCTTGGAAGTGTCGAACTAATACTTTCCTATTTAATTTATGATAACTATTAAAATAATTTTGTAGCGAATACAGTAAACCATTAATCGTTGTGTATCTGGTTATGCAATGTATGAAGAAAAAGAATAAATGTTAAGATAAACATTGATAATAACGGTGATTCTGAAATATATTGTAGTTTATATTCTTCTATATTTTCAAAGCGAAATATTTTATTGTCGGTTACTCACCTATATATATTAATTGTAACACAAGAATTTACCAGGAACAATTTTTTAAGAATATTACATCTAACACCATTTCGAATTGTGAATGTTGAAAGATATATAAACTTTTCCGCGATATTATCATTTCGCTATGACATCGAACACTGAGAAAAATATTGGTCGATATAATATACACGTTTTAGCATCTAAACAGTTCTTAAGAGGTCACTCTCAGCATAAAGCATGATACTAATTGATAGACGAAAACAGAAATCACGCAGTTGTAATATTGTATATATAATATTTTAAAATAAGAGTTATAATAGAGTTTTTGTACATAATAATTTTGTACAAATTAATCTTTTATGAAATAACATTCAATTCTTTCAATTTGTATATTGACTGACAGAGTAAAAATTCTTAATTTTTGTGATGCAAATAAGACTCTGTAAATTACAAAATTAAATTTTGTAACGTAAATGGATTATTAAATCATTGTTACATGTTTGTGAACGTCTTTGTGTATTTATTTTAATTGATAATATAGTTTCGGTTACTAGCGTCCTCTTCATTATACATAAAAAAATTCAAATATCCGCGTTATCAAACATTGTGTTCCATTTCTACCATATCTCGTACCAAATAGTGTGGTTTGCTGGTATTAAATCATGACAGTATGTCCGTTTCTTTCCCATCGAATTATTGCATATAAAAAAATATTTTTTACTACAAATTCGCTTACATTCCGAAATTTTAATGATAAAATAATTTAAAATCAGCATAATACATAAATGTAATAATATTCTGATTATATAAATATTGTGGCTATAAAGCGGTTTACTTGTTTTCTACGGAATTTTGAAATTCTTTCTTAGAAATCGCACAAATTCATTCTATACTGCAGATATTTCTTGTAATTATTGAAGATAAAGATAACTTGTTATCAGTATAATAGATCGGAAATGCAACAATAACAATATCGAGGTATTGTTATTTATATAAATTTTGTAGTCAGATTTTAAGTTTTCAAAACTATCCAAATTATCAAAAAAGCGCGATTACTGAAGTTAGCGCGGAGCCTTTTTTCGAATTATGCGAATTCTTAGTCTTTAAGGTAGTTGTCTCGCGACAATATGATCTAAACGTTAAGTCTTTCATTAAAAAAAACTCAAATAATAAAATTTACATAAATAATTGTATATTATTTAATTCATTTTATGGGACAACTACCTTAAGAATATATGTACATTGTTGGGGATAAAAATTATTCAGTGTAATACGAGAAAATTATTAGAAAATATTAGAAAAATAATTATAAATATGATTATCATAATCCGAAACTATAAAATTAATATCAAGTTATTGGACATTATCCAAATAATTTATAGATTATTTTTATAAATAAAAATATAGGAATTTATTGGATGGTTTACATACTCTAATAGTTCAAATAATTCTGTTGTATGTTAATTATCATACTGAAACCTAATAGGCTTATAAATAGAAATATTGGTTTTATCGGAAATATGGAATAGTATTAACATGTGATAACATTTGTTACAGTTTGTTGACTGAAGAGATCAGATTGTACAGCATTAAGAAACATAGGGACACTGTGCTGTCTCTGTAAATATTGCTCGATTAGGTTGCCCAGATTCGCTGAGAAGGTGGTCTCCAACATATCTACACCTTCTTCTCCTACATGAAAGAAGAGGAAATCATCCGGTGACTCCGCATACTGACTCGACAATTTGTAGCAGCCCTCTTTCGTTCGGTCCACCCTCCAACCGAACAACTGATAACATGCCTGGCGATATTCTTGCGATGACGCCTTGAAAGCCTCCTTCAAACGCGCTATCTTTATTTCATGCGTTTGCTTCAGCTCCACAATTTCTGTATTAAACAAAAGATAAAAATATACAATTTTTATGAAAAAGTAAAAAAAATAAAAAATACATTTTGATGTATATCCACCTTGTGTTTGCAACGATGACGTCACTGTGCCGTAACTTCCCGATGCCACCTTGGCTCGAAGTTCCTCCAATTCTTGTAATAAAGCCACTTGCTTCTCTTCGGCCTGTTTCTCCGCAAGCGCTGTGGGATTCATCGTGAAGTGCAGAATTCGGGAGTTACAGTTGAAGTCGCCTTTTAAAGCGCGATGTTCGAGCTCGCCTCTCAATTGCTCGATCTCTTCCCTCAATTTTTCGCATTCGTTTTTCTGAGCGTAGGTTTCGGCTGCTTGAAGATCCGCTTCCAATTTGCTGACTAAATCCCTGAGATAATTGTAAATATTTTCTATTTCGCAAACTAATTGTATTTTTAATTAAAGATTCACAATAAATATTGATATGTAAATATACCTGTATCCGTCTATAGCGCGTTCCAGAGCCGGTATCCTTTCGGTCATCGCATTGTTGCCATCTACCGTTATCTCCCTCTCGTACAAGTCCAGCTGTTGCCTATAACTGTCTCTCTCTCTAGTAACGAGCATCATCTTTTTCTGGAGCCTGCTTACAAGTTTGTTCAGTTTTTCCTTCGATGACGTCACGTCATTAGCCAGCTTCTTCGCGTCTTCGTAATTTTTGGAAAGATTCTGCGATTCTCGCAGAACCGCATCCAATCTCGATCTAAGCTGACCCTCTTCTGCTCTCAGTTCCACTTCAGCTTGCTGAAGTCTGTTCAGCTCTCGCTTCACTGCCGTCGGTCCGCCGGTAATGCCAATCGTCTCGTATTCCTGTAAGCGATAAGCAAGCTCAGACCGCTTTGCCTCCAACATTGCCGCTTGTTGTTCCACTTTTTCAATGTGCTCTAGCCTGTAACAAGTCATGCATTGTTAACAAAATGTATATGTTTGATTGCAGCGTGCCAAAAAAAAACTTTTTTTTACCTTTTTGTCATATTGGCCATTTGCTCTTCCAAGAGTAACTTTTCTCTGACTGATTCTTTTAACACCGAAATGGTTTTCTTTGCTGTATTCAATTCTTTTTCGAGATCATTTGCTCTCGCGGCTCTTCCTACTAACAACTTGCCCTCTTCCCACAATGCTCTTTCTGATTCGAGCTTTTCTATCTTAAGTTTCACCGTTTGCATTTCTACATTTTGCAATTCATAATCCTGCTGCATCTTAAGATATTCTTTTATTCTCTCTTCCAGCATTGCTGCTCTAGCTTCTGTAGTTTCCAGTTTCATTTGCAACTCACTTGATTCATCAGTATCCTTAGTAACAGGAGAGATCTTTCTCTTGTGGAAGCATTTCTCAGATTCTCCGACAATGTTGCATTTTCATTTAACAATGATGCTATCTTTTTTTCCAAATTGTTTCTCGTCTAAATACAGATAATCAAAATTAATTTCATGGGAATATATCATAAAAGAAGTATATATAAATTAATTAATTACCTGTGACCATTCTTTTTCTACAGCAGCTTGTGTTTCCTTTGTATCCTGGATTGTTCGCCGTGCAACGTCAAGTCGAACTTCTAACTGCTGAATAGTTTGTTTATCTTGCTCCATCTGAACTTGCAAGAGACCCTTTTCTTTTTCAAAAACTTCCTCCATTTGTCTACGTATACTGTGTAATTGTTGAACAGCTGCCTCTTGGTGAGTCAATCTGGTTTTTAATGATATAACCTATATGGAAATATATTTCTTCTGACATAAATGCTTTTTATTTAGATTTATTTCTAAATTACCCGTTGCATTTGAATCATTTATGTAGTTTTTAGAAATAATGTTAAGATGTTTGCAAAATCATTAAAATTTAGTTCTCTTTAGTTTATCACCTTACCTCTCCTTTCAAACGTCGCCATTCCCAAGGACTACCTGGCACAGAATCAGATTGAGTTTTATTAATTATAGATGTTTCTGAATCATCCAGCCTTAATCGTTTTGGTGTGATAACGCTGTCATCGCTTTCATTGAACTTTGAAGATATATAACCAGTTCCTGAGAATAATAGTGGCAAATTGACACTTCTGCGATAAGATTCTGCTCCAGAACGAAGATCTTTTAGCATGTTGATAACACTTGTCGGATCCTGATCACTCATCTACAAACAAAAAGATTTTGCTCATATGTTTATAATAAAATATAATATTAATATCTGACAATTAAATCATATACATTAATATAAACATTAAACGTACTAATTAATTAATGTACATTTTAATGATTTAAAATTAGATGTAATATACACATATAACTATAAGAATTTATAATTATTAGTTACTTTATTCTCCGAGATTTGACTATTTTATTATCTATTTTTTATCTTGCGTTGTTACAGAAAGAAACGGAACAACGCAATAATAGAAAACAACGGTAACAATGTAGCAATGCCGGCTATCGATAGGAACAATCTTTAGTCATATATAATGTCTATAATAGAGAAGCGACTCAAGCATTTCTATTGACATTGCTGAGTTCAGAAAATGTCCGCATCAGATTGTGAGAGACTTGGTAACCAATCAAAAACTTTCGGGCGTCTAGGAATAATGGATATTGTCCCTAGCCACATTGACAATCCTGAAAGTCAACTGTAGGCACAGCTGAAATACACCAAAGTACGTCATTGCATATCGGTATGTATGCACGTCTTCCTGCCTTTCTCATAAACTGGTGTAAGCTGATCGGAGCACGTCGGAGTGAGTAATACGTCGTTGGATGAAAACGGCTGACTATGTCCAAGAAGCAGGACAAAGTGGACAACGGCATTGTTGCCGTCAAGAGCAAAGTGAGTGCATATATTGTCTTCAATCAATGACAATTGAACGGAATTCAGGATTGTTTAAATTTCGTTTTGCAGTTTGACGCCGACATTATAAGATTCTCGATCAATCGTAACGAGCCTACGAGTTATGAAGAGTTCGGCAAGATATTGGGAGAACGCCATGACATACGAGCAGATTTTCTAATTTTCTACATAGACACGGATGGCGACCTACTTCCTATAAATAATGACAACAATCTGGCTAGAGCTTTGCTGGCTGCCAGGTGTCTGCTCAGAATTTTTATACAAAGGAAAGGTAAGATTCTTGAGCTTGTATATATATGCTTTGCATGTATGTATATATGTATGTGAGTGTATGTGCATTTAACTTAATTATTACTTTCATAGGTGATGGAGCATGGGACAACAATGGATACGCAACAATGAAACCGAAAAACTTGATATCCAGTATCTTGGGTGGCACACCGGGAAAACCAAAACCTATAGCTATTTCAAATCCACATGATTTTAGACAGGTAAATTTTATGCTTTGTTATTCACTTTCTAATATTAGCATTAACATTAATAAGTTTATTCACCTCACTTATCATATAATTCTTCTTATCAGGTATCTGCAATTATTGATGTCGACATACTGCCAGAAACTTGTCGACGTGTTCGTCTCTTGAAGCATGGTTCCGATAAGCCCTTAGGGTTTTACATCAAGGATGGTGAAAGTTTTCGCATATTGCCACAGTCTGCTGGTGGGGGAATTGAGAAAGTCCCCGGAGTATTTATCAGTAGATTAGTACCAGGTGGTTTAGCAGAGAGTACAGGGCTTCTAGCTGTAAATGACGAGGTCTTAGAAGTGAATGGTATAGAGGTAGCGGGAAAAACACTTGATCAGGTAAGCAATGTTTTTATGAAACTGATTTATCAAGTCATGCTACATTACAAATATCGATGTAAGAAGCATACAGTTATAATTGTTAGAGTTGTCATTGTGCTATTTCAGTGAGATAAATATTTAAAATACTCTTTGCAATAGCTAATGTAAACATTTACATATTAAAATAGTGACTTATTCGTTTTATTTTACTCTTATTCTCTTTTTAATATGTTTATTTGTGTAGGTGACGGATATGATGATAGCAAACTCCTCCAATCTTATCATAACTGTCAAGCCGGCAAATCAGAGGGCGGCGTTGGCCGCACCTCGTCGTGGTTCGTTTTCACGTAATAGTCAATTGTCATCGGGAAGTCGTCAGTCTACACAGAGCGCCGGTAGCGACGAGGAAGCAGATGAAATAGTTGATCTAACGGGTATGACGATGCAAGAGGATACAGCATCAGCGTCATCCACTCAGCACCATCATTATCACCATCACCATCACCATCAAAACTACAGTCACGATCAAGGTGTGCTACATCTTTAGAGCGACATTGCTTAATTGTTACTGATAAATATCATATAAAAGGTAATATCTGAATGTAAAAAAACTCAACGATCAACGTATTAATTGAATTATGCTCAATTTAATAGCTTCTGTTAGCGTTATTTGCAGCAGAAGTTATTTAGAGATAAGATTCTACAGAAACGTATAAACGACAATAATCGCGTTAATTCTGCAGCTCAAGTTGGAGATTAAAGAGCTCTTCGGTAGGCTTCTGACAAAAGATTAATGCAAGAATGGAAAAAAATCGTGGATTGTGCTAATATAAGGCACATATAAATCAATATCTTAAAACAATTAATGTTATTCTATGACTTCAAATATAATATTATTCTATAAGACGTTGACAAATGAATATATCTTGTATTTAAAAATCATAGTATAAACATTAAATTATAAAATATCGAAATAACATCGATACAAGAATTTCAGAGCAGTATTATAAAAATATTGTGATTGGTTGAGTTAATACTTTTTATGAGAAAAGCGTCGTATTTGTATTATAAGAGACAAAAATTGCAGGATTACAATCCAGTACTTAATTATTAATGATTATAATAAATCATTAGTCAATCGTTGTGTTAAATCTTATACATAAGAGAGAAAACAGCAAACTGTATTATATTGTATTTTTTTATGATGTATTTCTAGTAGTACCTTTAAAAAAAATCGCACTCAGCTTTCCTCGATGGCATGCGTATAAGATTTTTTTTTACATCTACATGTATATTATCTTTTACATGACATTTATCAGTAACAATTAAGCAATGTCCATTTTGAAAGAATTAGGATACTTTATATTATTACAATTAAAGAAAGGATTAATAATTTTTGAAGAAAGTAAATTACATATATGGCCAATGAAATTTCACTAAGCCATCCTTTGTCGTAAAATATTATTTGTCTATGCATACTTGAGAGATAATTTATAATATCGACTGTATATTCAAAGTATTATTGTAACTTTTTCATTAATAGCTAGTTACTCGAAATTAATATGTACTTAATAGATGTAAAATGTGATTTTTTTAACGATATGTATATTTTGACCTGAGGAACAATGTGCTACTTATCATCCAGATAATCATTGATTAATGACGTTGAATTGTACATAATGCAGGGAATAAAACTCAACAACTTTTCCGTAACTGAAAGAGGCCTTTATCAAATTATGATAATGTAAATAATGATCAATCTTATATCGAGAAGAATATCGATATAAATTTTATATGATATGTAACAAAAAGCAAAAAAAAGTGACCTTACATACGATACATCATTCCAGCTACTTTTAAAAAGGATATAAAAATAAGAGTGTTCTCCTATACACACGCCTATTCGTGTATGTAATTCGTCTCCACCGTGTGTTTAGACTGTTGAAGTTTTCGAATTTTAATGTCATTTTTATATATGTTATCTGTTATTCTATTGCGCATTATTAAAGATTGAAAATTTAATGCGTTTTAAAGCTATAGGTAATTGATGAAAACACCAAGAAAAGTCACTACGATACTATTTATACGTATGTAAAATATTCTTCGCATGCCTGTGCCTTCGATTGGAGTTGGAATGAATATATTCAGACGCAATGTTACATTCCAATTATATTTATATCGTTGAAAAGAAAAGTGTTTCTAAGAAATTTATACTGCCTTTATAGTTACGCAAATTCATTTTTATATGCGCTCGATTCCACTTTTTCTACTTAATTCGGAAAATATGTATATATATATATGTATATTCTAGGTATTATTTTATAAAGTTTAGTTGCTCATAATGGCAAACAATCACGTGTACTTCCGTAGTAAGCGCTATTTTTAACAGGCCTTATTGTTCCATTGTCAAATTATCAATCGCATTATTAATTCTGTAATCTCTGAAACACATGTACTTTGCATGTTTCTTTCCAATTCCATTATTTTAAGAGTCGAATGTTTATACAGATCATATATATATAATATTTGAAGAGATATTTTTTATGAAAAAGATATTTACGGTATGTGAGTCGGAAAGAGTGCTTCAGTGAGAGAATGGTTTTAGAGGATTATTAGCGTAATTATAAAACGATCACGTTACATTTAATAATCCGTACTTTATTCCATCGCTTTAGAGGAGGAACTACTTTTGTACTTACCGGATAGAACATGAACTTGGACATATTTTCGATTATACTAAATGCTTTATAGAATCGTAGTTGTGCAGGGAGACATCAGTGCTAAATTAGTCATCGATACTGAAATTAGATATATTTTAAGCGATATGCGATTGTACTCCTTAGTGTGAATAAGAGATAGTAAATCACGGAGGATGAAAGTACTTATTACCGCTGTAATTCTTTTTAATGGCAGCTTATAAAATAAAAATATTTTATTATATCTTCATAGTGTTTCTCTCTACCCTATTATTTATTTCTATATTATTCTTACATCGAAAGATCAATTCCGATCACGCTTGATATCGATACCTTTTCTCGCGCGGTGGTTACTATGGTGTATAAATAAAATATGGTAGAGTCAACCAAAATCCGTAACCTCGCGTAGGTCATAACTTTTGCTAAAATTAGACGCTTTACAGTTGTTTATCAAACTTAAGGGATCGACAAAAATTTTGCGAATATCTCGTGGCAGAGATTAGAAGCGGGATATGTCTTACGCTGAGCATGGACCGCGTATCTTTTTGGTGGGCAGGCCAAGTTGTGACGCACCTTTGACGTATGGAGATTACGTATTACCGAGGAAACGATTGGAGGGTCGTTTGAAGCTATACAATTCGTGTACAGACATTCGAGCTTGGAGCCCGAACATTTCGGAGAGCTCACGTTACTTTCGCGAGCTCAACGAACATGATCCTGCGGTTTGTTTTTCATACCAATTTCTCGCGATCCATAGCGTTATGCTTTTAGAGAGATGTATTGTATTTTACACAACTATACGTGACTGCAAGCCGTTTAAAGTATTCTTGCACGAGCAAGAAATCCCGGATTGTGGAAAAAAAGTAACAGGGAATGACTTTTATGTTTGTCAAATATCGCATTATTCGTCGCGCGTTTCTTTTTGCACGGTTTCTCCGTTGAATAAATCGCGTTTGCAACGAACACAAATTGAAGATGCATTATTTCGTTCCTTCTTATAGGCAGGAAGAGTGATACCGTTCAATGTGGTAATGGAAAGCATGATAGGACTTACGGCTGAAGCCCAAAACGAGCTTTGCGTTGTGCGGAGGGAACTGCAAAAATACAAATCCCTGAAGCTTACCGCAGAACAACAAACGTATCTGGAGAATTTCGTGAGCTTTAATAAATAATGCGCAAAGGGAACATTAAATATCTTATTCGCGCAATAACAATCCTGGACAAAACCCGTAGGACAGAACTATTGAGAGGCGAGAGATAGCAGAAACGAAGATTGAATCCGTAATAAGACCGATCCTTCAAGACCATGGATTATTTAACGCAAATAAAATTGCGTCCTTTCAGCATTCCGACACATATCTGTCTATATATTTTCATCCGAGCAGAAGATTTCGATACGATAGAGGGATTCGCGATTCATTATTAAGTAATACGCGTGTTCTGAGGAGGAATCTAAATACAAATCCGTTATTGGAAAATCATGCCTATCTGGCGTCACGTGTAACGTCTTGCGATATACTGACCGAAGCTACGCGAGGTAAACAATCTGGTAGCGCAAACTTTTCTTACTGTGAGAATTTCTATCTATTTGAAAATGGACGAAATTAAAGACTAGATTATGAAATAAAAAAAGAATTCTTTAGTTAGTTTTTAAAATAATGAAACGGACTATTGTGCTTTAAAATTGCAATGAACTTTGCAGAGCGCAACAAGCAAGCAAATACTTGCATCGAGTACATTGACGTATCCTCTCAAATGATACCAGACGTTTGTGAAGTGGGTGTGCAAACGGATGGATGTAAAAATAATGACGATTACAATAAACAGTCTAATGTCGATTCATCCTCTAGTCAATCATATTACGAGAGTAGCGAGAGTGTGTCTGTATCTGAAAGTGAATCAGGAGTGAACTCGGATCCCGAAATGTGCGAGAAAAGCCACAAAAGAGTCATCATTCAAAAAGATTCGGAAATTATCGTGCTGAAGAATGAACTCGGTGTACGAAATAATATTAATTCGGCGAAACTTTCATCGAAACGAGATTTATATACTTAGCAAACTTTCATTTATCTTCGCTTTTCAGATGAGGGAAGACGAGTTGGAAGAATTACGAGAGTTAAATAGGCACTTGCAGACGTTGTTAAAAGAAAAGAACGAAAACACGGACATTTTGAAGCACAATTTCAATGTAATGATAATATTTATCATCGATATTTATCGACATTAGCCAGCTGCTTCAATTGAAAATTTGTATAATTAATCAGAAATTTTATTTTGCAGACTCTGCAAGAAAAATTGAAAGTAGCGAACGATAAACGTAATGATGAAGTGGAAGATTTCAATGCGAAAGTAATAACAGTGCTGAAAAAGAGAAACAGAGATAGATAAAGATTTATATAAATTATACATTTCTTTGAACTGAGTTTTCTTATCTTTCCTTAGCTTTCTTCCGCCGAGTGCCTGGTGGATCAGTTGAAAGCAGAGTTAGCTAGAAAATGTCAACTTTGTTATTTTCAATCGCAAGAAATCCAGAAACTTGGGGAACAAGTTAAAGAAGCGGAATTACTTTCCATAGAAAACGAGTCTCTTACGGTTAGTATGAACGGCATATTGTACATAGCAGTCACAATTGTACGATTAATTGTTCATAAGAATCTTCTTGGATTACAATTTAACGAATTAATGTACTTGAAAATGTTGACAAATTAGCGAAAGGTGAAGGAAATAGAGTACTTGTCGAAAGAGGCGGAAAGCTGCGGCATTGCTTTAGAGCAGGTGAAAAATGTCTGGCGGGAACGGGATAGACTCCAAAAGCAATATCACGAACAAAGTTGCACGCTGGCGGATAGAGAAGATGAAATAAAACAACTATTGACGTTGATAAAGCAAATGTCGGTTACGGCTGACACTCGCGAGGTGCGTTATTTGGCGGCTTTGCGTGTCGCGTCGCGTTTTATTAATCTCAATATTGATTTAATTAATAACAGGAGGTAGATTTTTCGAGAATATATCAGTGCATCGTCGCATTATTTTAATTTAGTCGTGAAAGAATGAATAATTAAGTGCGTTTTGCAAATTACAGGCTCATCGATTATTCAAGACGCATCAACATAAGCAATACAGTTTTAGATAAAAAAAAGTTGAGGAAGTAAAGAAATAATTTTTTTATGTTATGTTTTCCCAACTCCAAATCTCTAAAATAAATTTTACAAGTATTATATCAAATAGTAGAGTTTAAAAATATTAGAAACAGACGTTTAATGCCGGGAAAAGTTGAAAGATAGAGGAACTTTTGTTCCTCGAATGCCCCTTTATTTTTTGACTCACCCTCATTTTGTGTCTCAGACGTTATCAGATGTAATCCTAAATCTTAAATTGACTTTATGAAGAAATATAAAACCAGATACATGGTAATTATTCACGTATCAGGTAGAGATGAATGATGTAGTAGCCGGCTTGAGAAACGAGATTCAGGCCAAAAGTGACAAGATCTCGCAGTGCGAAATGCAGCTAGTTTGCATGGAGCGGGAAGTCGGTAATCTGACTAACACGCTGAAAAGTAGTCTGAATAATTTGGACGAGGCTAAGATAGCATACGAGGGCATTCGCGAGTACACCAAGTGCGAGCACGACACTTGCTTAGACGTGCAGAGCGCGTTGTCCGCTTTAAAAGCGTTCATTGCCGAGTTGGAGGAGTGTAAATTAGAACGTAACCGTCTGCGGGAAATAGATAACCTGAAGGCTTGTGTGGCGTGCTACAGCCAAGAGTGCGTCAGCGAGACTGCAAACGCAAATTTTGATACTGGACACGGATCGATCCAGCCGGCGGCAGGTATTATTCCGAGGCATGCATCAAAATAATAATAATAACGCACGTGATGGGAAGCGGGACAGCAACAGACTTTCGAAATATAACATACTAATTAATATACAAAATTGCGCATTGATAGACAATTTGATGATACACGCGAATTAATATAAAAATTCGACAACATTGCAGAAGATGTTTCTACGTCGAGCAATTGCGGCGACTGTCGCTCGTCCAAAGAATTGGTTAACGTTCAGATTCAGTCGGACGACGTTGATTCCACCACAACGTATTCCGAGGAGTCGGAAAAAGTGGAAGTGGAGTTGAACGAGGTGATCTCGTATGAAGAAATTGATCGCGCGCTTACAATGCACATCAAACATTCCATCGACAAGATACACGAAATATCCATGGCCCTTCAAGGTATTGTATATAAAATAAATGTCACTTGATTTTTTCCTTCTGAGACAACATACATCGACAGTGATGAAATTGATTTTTAAAAAGGCGCCGGAGATCATCACGTGCAGATCGTCAAAGAATTCGCGAGGCAGCAGCAGGAGCTGCAAAAAAAGGACCTAGAGATCACGGAATTGAAACAACAAGTAGCGGAGCACATGTTACGAAGAGGCGAGGGCGACTGCATGATTCAGGAGCAGCTGAAAAGAAGGATGGTGGAGAAGGAAAAGGCGCTGGAAGCTATAAACAAAAGAGACAGCGAGATCGAGAGACTGCGCGAACATCTTATTGCTTTGGAAAGTAAGATTTCTTCTCACCGCATCGAGTACGATACGTTGAAAATCGAAAATGCTGATCTTCTCAACGCGAGGAGTGTACTTTCGAAAGAAAAGGACGAGCAAAACGAAAAACTCAGGGCGCAGAGGGAACAGATGTGTAATCTAATGCAGCAGATAGAAGACTTGAAGCAGACAATCGGTGTTTTGAAGGAGGAAACCGATAACGTCGACGATATAAGAAAACAGTGAGCGAATTTTGTGTTATTTCTATCGTTAGCGACTGCCCGATCGACGCTTTTCAAAAACAATTTGTCGATTAACAGATTGATAGATCTGCGGATGAAGAACAACGATCTCACGAATAAGCTTACACAAGCTAGCGAAACCATCTCGAGGAACGCCGAAATTATAGCGGACCTGCGATCGAAGGACGAGAAAACCAGAACGGCTTTAACGGACAAGAGTGTCAAGTACGACACCATAATAACGCAGAAGCACAGCGATATCGTGAAGCTGCAGGAGGAGAATCAATCGCTGCGCGATCAGCTGAGAGAAGCCGGAATTAAGCTCGCTCGCAGTAATGATACGATTTCATTACTTAGGAGAGAGAGCGACAATATAGCCGCGATAAGTGCTCTGCAAGCGAATCTGTCGGGTTTAGACACTGATAAGGAGAGACTGCTGGCAAAAGTGGACTATCTGAAAAGCGAAATAGCGGATTATCGGGGTGTCACGGCGAACGTCGAGAAGGGATTACAAGCGTTGTCGTGTAGAAACGAGACATTAAAGACGGATATCGAAACTGTAAGAAGTACCAATCATCAATTATTATACGCTGAAGAAGGCACGATCAAACAATCCTTGAAGGATGCGCTGTACACGCTTCCTGGAAGAATTTACGAGAGAATTGTGCGCCTTGGAGCAGAAATTAAAGCGCACAATGAAAAGACGGAGAGCGCTGTATCGTGTCAAAGTAAAGAAACTCCCGGGCATCGAAACAAAGAAAAGCGGGATAAGGTAAATATAAATGAACACGTATTATACTTTATTGCTTCTTTCATGTCTCTATTGATGCGCCAATATTGATCGCAATCTGAGCAATACTTACAATTTCCCGCAGTTTTGTCAACAAGATGTGGAACTTTGCGAGATAAGCACGCGTGATAAATTAGATTCATTTGTTCAAGAAATAGATTGTGATTCTGAAAACGCCGCGAACAAGTCAAGATTCCTCGAAAGACAGTACGAGGAAAAGCAGCAGGAAATTAAAAACTTGATGGATGACGTAAAACTGAGAGATTACGAAATAAAGAATCTGCAGGAGTGCATCACTCACTTGTTGCGGGAGAAGAATGATCTACAAGATAAAATTAAAGTACATCGTATTACTTTTTTTTTTTTCTGCAGTACTTGGATAATTTTTTAATTTTAATCCAACAGCGCCAAGTAAAGGAATACCAGAGCAAATTGATGATATTGAAGAAAAAATACGACGGTAGCTTAAACGCTTTGCGTAAGAGACACAATGAAAACGTAGAAAGATTACAAACGAGATTCGAGGATATTATGAAAGTCGAGAAAGGCCCGTTCGACGCGGAAAGTTGGTTGCGGGTACAAAGATCGATTAGCAAATTATTCGCGGCAATTATTCTTCGCGACTCGTTTATCAGTTATTCTTTCTAGTCGCTGAACTTGAAGGAACTGACGGAACTACATAACCGAATCAATATTCTGAGCTCGCACGCAGCTGAGAATGGTGAATCAGATATTACACACACCGAAGCGAGGAATCACCGTAGTGCTCGCAGTAATTCCGAAGAGCATAGGTTGCACGATAAATTCACTTTGCATAAGCAGTATACGAGTAAAAGTAGGACGTGTTTAAATAGAAAAGCGAGTAACAGGGAATCCACCATCCAAATTCGCAGCGCTGAAAATAATGAGAAGGTTGTAACGGAATTATATTCTCGCGATTTAAGACTCAAGCAGAAAAATAGGTAAGATTCGACCTCGAGTAGAATATTTATTTTTAATAGCGTATCAATCACTTCTCACACGCTTCTTCTTGACGATTCCAGGGTTTCCGACGACGGCAAGAAACGTCGAACGGAAAGTGCGGGAGTGCCGTTTAAATCGAGTATAGACAGAACCGTAAGTATCACGTTTCAATCGTATTTCTATTTTATTGCGGTAAAATACGCGTGAAATGATATGTTGCAGCTTGACCGGCAGAGAGAGAAATTTATCTATCAATGCAGCATGCATCACAAATTGAACAGCACTCGCTGATATCCGCGCGATGATATTTCATAATGCAGCGAGATTTTCGGAGCAAAAAGGATGTAAGCACGGAATATTTTATCACCTCCACGTATTACCCTATTTCGCAACGATACACACACTCGCGCAAGATTGCCAATGAATACTTTATAAAACTAATCCCAGATGGCTGATATTACTTTTTATTCACTCCTTTCTTCGGATATATATACATATAACTTTTTCGATGTTCTGTATCTGCGCTGTGTTATTGTTTATCTAACTGAAGTTAGCCGTGCGAGTTATACTCGCGTTACCGTTCGCAAAAGGCATGTATCTGAAGTGGATTTTTGTAATAAATATATATATATATTGTGTGTGTAAAAGGTTTTACGTATGAACTTTTATGAATATTTATCAACAATGTGCCAGCGTGATCAAACGAGAGAGTTTACGTCATCCAAGAAATCCGTGATCTGTGAAAAGTTGTATCTCGGGAAAGAGCCAAGGAGTTTGCTGAGCGCTTTGAGCGTAATGCGAATCTGCGGCGCGCCGCATATGTATGATATGTAATATGGTGCTTGCACTGACAAAATGCTCCTTTGATCATCCCGACAACTTAGCGTTGCGGAAAGAATACGCCTCTGTAGATTCGCGTGGCGAATCGCGGTTAGGCGCGTTCCGCCGTACATTCAGAGCCGGTAAACCGCATGTATTCCGCATAACGCGTAGTTTACCATCACTTCTAATGCAAGAAGCACCAATGCGTACGCGCTCGCACCGACAATGATAAATCCGATTACAATCAAAGGGGCGTATCTACAATTTAACTCTGCGAAAAATAACGCGACTGCTATTTCCGTTGCGTAATTATGCAGCTTTGCGCCTGTAATTATTTCCTTTTCTTCGCGCACCATGGCGTCTGCAATACCGGATATGTTTTACAGCACAGATTAGAAGGTTTCTCTTGTACAGACTGTAACGAACAAGAAGTGAATATTACACAGAGTGTGCCACGATAATCGGATAACGCGACGGGTTCAAGTTGGGGATCAAGTTAAAATAGATTTTTAACAGAAATGTCAAACCATCAACGCCTTTTCCATGACAAGTAATGGAAAGTTAGAAGAAATTTTCAGAAATCAAGTTTCACAAATGCAAGTAGGAGACAAATTTTTTCCTTCAGTGGGTCTTAATTCTTATCTCTTTTGTACGGAAGAGATAAAAATTCCGATGGATAAATCAGAGTCACGGCTAATGAGGTTCTTGTCAAAGCGCACGACGCATTATTAATTTGTACGCGGCTTTTCTTCGCAACATACTATCTTGCTTGCATACACATATACACGGGTTGTAATATTTGATTACAGTTTGTGCAACATTTTACTTTATGTCGTACATTCTCGCTCGCTTTTTTCTAATTTTTCGTATTTACGCAGACATTTCTAGATTTATTTCGATTCATATTAGAGACATTTCCCTATTTCCAAGGGTTAAAGCGAACGTCTTTTACTATTAGCGCCGGTATGTGCACAGCTTGGCGGTTTGACCTGGATTACATAGCCGACGGGGATATTACATCGAAGGTGGCCCTTCGGTCAGGTAGGCGAGCAGGCGGGCAGGACAGGCAGGCACAGGTAGCTTTATCTCGCAGGGGAGACGACAAGGCGAGGCCCCTGCGAAACAGGAGGTGAGCTTCGCGAGGTCTGTGCGAGCTTGCGCACTCGAGGGCCCATGCGCGCAGCCTCCAGGATCTTCTCACGGGGTGGTGGACGCGCGCGTGTCGCGGAGCGTACAGGCGGAGGACGGAGCTTCGTCGGTCGGTCGGTCGCCCTCCGCGCGTCAGGCACGTCGCGACCCCCAACACCGCAGCATCGCCGCAGGTCGCCGCTTCTCCCGACCATGAGAAGAGGAGCGTCGGG